CAAAATGACAGTTATGAAGTAGCAACGAAAATAATTTTATGGTTGGGGGTCACCACAACATGAGCTGTATGAACGGGTCGCAGCATTAGGAAGGTTGAGAACCACTGATTTAAGCCATACATATCAAATGTTCACTTTTAAGGAAATTGAAGGCCCCCCTTTTTTCAATATGGAATGCTTCATGAATTTGTGTGTTATCTTTGCGCTGGGCCATGCCAATCTTCTCTGCATCGTTCCAATTTTAGTAGATGTGCTGCCGTAGCACGCACAAAGCCCCTTCTATATAGCTGTAGCTGTATCTAGCTCTGTCTTTAGCTGTGCCCATATCTGTGAAGCCCTTGTGACACCATTGGATGAGAATTGGACTGCTAGCTGCAAGGTCAGATGTTTGACCCCGCAGCCCACTCCCTCCTCCCTGGGAGAAAGATGAAGCTATCTGTTCTCTAAGTGATTTAGCACCTTGGAAACCCTGGACAGGGTCACTATGACTCAGAACTGACTCAGTGTCAGTGGGTTTGACTTTATTGGGTTTTGTATATGCAAATACATAAACATCCCTCTTGGCGAGGTTGGATATGTTGGACTGTTAACCTCAAGGTTGGGGGTTCAAATCCCCTAGCTACTTGGTGGGAGAAAAAACGAGGCAGTCTATTCCCCTCCAGATTTATAGCCTCAGAATTGCTATTCATCATAATCCACTCAATGGCAGTGGGTTTTGTTTGGGGTTCAGTATGCATGTGGATATGGGAAGCTGGCAAGTTCAGAAAGCATAGGTCATGTGTAGACTAGAGATGTTTGCTGTCTTGGGTCCCAAAATCCATAGGTTAGACAGTGGGAAGAGTGAGGAGAAAGAGTGTAAGGACAAAATGTCAATTTATAACCTAGAGCCCAAATACTTTTTTTTTTTAATCTCCAGGTCTTTAACTGGTTGATGGGACCTCTCGCCCCATTATGGAAGATGATCTGCTTTACTTGACCTCATCACAAGTGATTCTTCTTAACAGCGAGGCTAGTGCTTTACTGAGTCAAGTCGACACAGAAAATCAACCAGCCTGTCCCTTAACCTGTCGTATCCCAGGAGCACTTGATGGCACAAGCCGGGTAATAGAAGAAAGTTTAATAAACAGACAAAAGTTATCCGAAAAACCAAAATAATACATATTCACTACCATGGAGGCAATGCTGACTCATAGTGACCCCCTGTGGGTTTCTGTCACTGTTTACAGAAGACGAAAGCCCAGTCTTTCTCCCATGGAGTGGCTGGTGGTTTTGAACTGCTGACCTTGCAATTAGCAGCCCAACTTGTAACCCACTCTGGGTGGGTTTGAACACTTAACTCCTTGGGTTATGAGTCAGATCCATCATTTACCCCACCCAAGGTCTCCTTTCGGATTTGGAACCACGAAGCTTTTTGCTTTTCAAAAATATCGGGACTCCTTACAGGGCGACAGTATAAGCTACCAGGACACCCAAATGTAAGTTGAGCCTAGAAGTCCTTGCCAATGACAGAGAGGAAGGATGTCATTAGATCTGTCTCCGATGATCTGGGAAAGGATGTAAAGAGGCTGCATCCAGAAGACTCCACTGCTAAAGTGAGTGACAGATGGTGCCTGAGAAAATAATTGCCACCACTGGAATAAGCTAAGCCAAAGATCCATGATGATATTTCCAGAATCATACTTCATAAAGTTTCTGTAAAAGATTGTGTGGCAGTTACATAATCTCCTGTCAACTTGCGAAGGGGTGGAGTCTAGCTTGTCAATCAGGTCACAGCATGATGACCTCATCGAGAGCCGTGAAGGACATAAATAGCTCACTGGAGGCACTCCCTGGGAGACATTCCTGTTGACAAGACACGAGGAGCTATGCTGATTGCAGCCAGAGCCCTGGAGCTGGAGGAGCCATGTGGAGACCCATGCCAGTGCTGAGATGCTCCCACTACCACTGGATCCACAAGACTTTCTACCCACTGGCCTGTGATCTTCCTGCATGCAGCATCATTTCATGGGCGCCTGAGTCTAAAGAAGAGTTTATGGACTAGTATTGACATATGGGGTAATCTCGGATTTATGGGCTTGAGCTGGACTGGGCTGGGATGTTTTCTTAATGTACAATTGTTCTTTGATATAAAGTTCTGTCCTACACACATATGAATGTCTCCTGGGATTTGTTTCTCTAGTCAACCCCGACTAACAAGATTGCCATGGTGTACCTGAGAGTTTCCAATATATCTACCAAAATTAAATCAACTAGGTAAATTCTAACCTCATGTTTGGTCATTATGCAACAGATCTGTAAATATACATACTATGTGTGCATATCGGGATAAAGGTGAGGCGTTCTACTCCTGTAAAGAGTTATAGTCTCAGAAACAGGGGCAGTTTTATCCTGTCTTCTAGGGTCCCTAGAAGACAGGGTAAAATTCAAGGCAGTGAGTGAGTGAATGAGTGATGTGTATGTTATAGATAGATGTAGATCTATGGTTATTAACCTAAAAAATAGACCATAACATATTAAAATAAATGGGGAAAGGCATGTGACAAAGAGCAGGCTATGATCTAATCCTCTTATATACCAGGGTAAGAAAAAAGTTTTGCTACCAAGCCTCCAGTTCATACGTGCGTGGGTTTATTCCAAACAAAACCTGTATTGATATGTCTTTGCAATCAATGGATGGCTGCAGACAAAGGTACACACATCTTAATCTTGCTACCCAAACAAACAGATAAACAAATTCCCTGCCACGGAGTCAACTCTGACTCATGACAACCCACAGGCAAGTGTAGAACTTCCCCTGCGGGTTTCTGAGAATGTAAGTCTTTATTGGAGTGGAAAGCCCTGTCTCTCTCCCACAGTGGCTTCCAACTAACTACGGACCTTGAAGTTAGCTGCCCCAGGTGTAATCACTGAGTCAGCAGGGCTCCCCTTCAGCTAGTTAGGCACCTTCATAAAAAGCTCCAATCAAACCATGGTTTCTAAGGTGATGTGTTGGGCCACTTAAATTTAAGTCAGAAGGTTACAGTGCCTGTCTTTTGGCATTCCAAAGGAGTAACCTTGACAGATTGGACAGTCACAGGGGCTTCGCATCAAGCCTTCAGAAAATGGAGCACCACGTTGATAGGAAAAAAAGCAGGAAAATGATGTGTAAGAATTTTTGTTCTCATCATAATGCACGTGCTCATTCTGTGATGCCGGCAAGGAGAGTCCTGGGAGAACTTCATTGAGTAACTCGATCCTTCCCCCCTACAGTCCTGATGTTATACTTTTAGATTTCTTTTTGTTCCCCAAACTCAACATTTAAAAGAAATACAATTGTGAGTCCCTCAAGGCTGTCAATAGGGCAGTTTTGATGAGGTGGGAATGGAAAAGTGCAGAATTCTTTGTGGAAGAGTTAGAGAGGTGGACACTTTCAGACATTAATAAACCTGAAGGGAGGATATGTCAAGAAGCAAGAGCTGGTGTTTTGGCCAGAGACTAGACTATGCCCAACTACCACTACCAACTGGTCTGAAAAGGATTAGAAAAATTATGGAGTAGAACTCATAAAACCCTAAAAGAGACCAAGCTTATTATTCAGCTAGGGACTGCTGGGACCTTGTCACCAGGTGTGGACCCAAACTCACCCCAGCGTTAGAATAATCAACCATTTAAAATCAAAAGGCTGCATTTAACCCAGGACGGAGGGTTAGAAAGAGGGAGTCTAGCAGGAAACCCTGGGAGAAGTAGTACCAGGAGACGATTGAAATGGAAGAAGAAGTGAAATGTGTATCGATTGTTGAATGTAAAACTGATGCCCTGCTTGGTGAGACGCCCCCTAAGTCACAAGACAGCTTCATCGGTTTACATTTCCGTTTCACAAGGTTCTGATGACATTGTGGCTTTTTTGTTTTAATTTTTACTTGAACCTCCGCACCAAGCGTGGTGTTGTATATGGCTATAGGGAACCAAGCCTTGGAGAGTGATCTCAGGTTGGAGACGTTGATGTCAGGTGATTTTTCAACTCTCTTCAATAACATTATCAACAGCCTGTTAACTAAGACGGCAGAGAAAGAGGAGGCTTGCTACTCTGGTAATGCTTTGTTTCAGAAACCCACACTGGCAGGTCTACTCTGGCCTATACACTGTTATAGATGGGAATCTGTTCAGTGGCTATAGTCATAAACAGTGACTAGGGGGAGAGGGAGGGGGAAAATGAGCCGCTGATACCAAGAGCTCAAGTAGAAAGAAAATATTTTGAAAATGATGGCAACATATGTACAAAAGTGCTTGACACAATGGATGGATGGATTGTGATAAGATTTTTTTAATGGTATTTTAAAATAAAATGATTTTTTTTTTGGTAAGTAATGAACATTCCGACAGTTCTCAGCTTACAAATGGGCTGTGTGCTCAAAGTTCTAGGGAGCCTTAATTGAGTGGAGCTCAAAATGCATTTCCTAAAGAAACAGGTGCCCCCTGTTTTACCATGGCGTGCTGAGTGAGCCCTAGCGAGCTGGGCAGGGACCTGTGTCTGGCTGGGCTGTCTGTAGTTCGGCTGAAGAGGGGTTGAAGGGCGGTTTTCTGGCCGCAGAGTGGTGACACCCTCCTGCGCCCTGGCTGCACGCCGCCGCTTTCCCTTACACCTCCCTGCCAGCCAGTGCGTGGGGGCACATTGGTCACGGTGGGGAGCTTGGGGTCCCCAGGAGTGGGGTGACGCACGCAACCTCGGCAGGGAGAAATTGGGACCTTCACTGACTCGCCTTCGGCCTGCCTGGGCACACACCTCCCAGCCTGCCGGCCTTGCCCTCTTCTATGTCTATAGCATGTATGCATCACTTCCTCTGATTTCTGGTCTGGAGAAGAGGGGATCAAAGATCCACTCTACTGAAGACTTGGTTTGCAGGGCGAAAGAATGCAGCAGCCCTCGCTGCCCCCACCCCCTTGCAGTTAAAAAAAATCCCTTTTAAACTTCAGAATGTTCTCATTCAGCAAGTTTGGAGGAACAAAACCATGTAGGCAAAACAAGGCCATTTCGATAAGCCAGGGAGCCAGAGGCCTCCAGAGAGTGACAGGCTGCCCCTGTTTGCGAACCATGGCTGCTTTGTCCCCCTGGGAAGCTCGCTGTTCTTTGTCACAAACCCATGAATCAGTCCCTCGACTTCCCACTTGGCTCAGGGTGTGTAACTTGCTGGCTTTTCACGAATCTTTGAAGCCGTTTTGGGACATTTCAGACCCCACGGCTCCCTTCTGTTAAGCACTTGAGGAAATACACTGAAAAGTTCTCCA